CTAAAGGTAAGAATATTTAAGATCAAGTCTCTTAGCAACTTCAAAATATGTAATACAGTATTGTTAACTGTAACCACAACACTGTGCATTAGCTCTTCGGAACATACTCATCTCCTAACTTCAAATTTGTACCACTGAGCAACATCTCCCCATTTACCCCCCAGTTTCTGGTGACTATGATTCTACTCTCTGTTTTTATGAATTCAGCTTTTTTTAGATCTTATGCATAAGTGTTAGTGTACAGTGTTTGTTTTTCTCTGTCTGCCTTATCACATTTAACATAATGCCCAAAAGGTCCATCTATGTTGTCACAAATGGCAAAATGTCCTCCTTTCTCATGGCTGAATAATATTCCAGTGTGTGTGTGTCACATCTTCTTTATCCATTTATCCATTGATGGGCACTTAGGTTGTTTCTGTATCTTGGCTTTTGTGAATAATGCTGCAATAAACATGGTGGGGCAAATATCTTTTTGATATCCTATTTTCATTTCCTTTGGACATACATTCAGAAGTGGGATTGCTGGATCATATGATGGTTATATTTTTAAATATTTGAGGAACCCCCATTCTGTTTTCCACAGTGACTGAACCGACTTATATTCCCATCACTGATACACAAAGGTTTCCTTTTCTCCACATTTTGGACAGTGCTTGTTATCGCTCATCTTTTTGATGATAGCCTTTCTAATAAGTGTGAAATAACATCTCATTATTGTTTAGATTTGCATTTCCCTGATAATAAGTGATGTTGAGCATCTTTCCATGTCCTTGTTGGACATTTGTATGTCTTCTTTGGAAAACTGTCTATTCAGTTCCTCTGCCCATTTTTTAATCAGATTGTTAGATTTTTTTTTTGTTATTGAGTGGTATGAGTTCTTTATATATTTTGGAAATTAACCTCTTATCAGATATGGTTTCCAAATATTTCTCCTGTTCTGTAGATTGCCTTTTCATTTTGTTGATTTTTCTTTTGATGTGCAGAAACTTTTTAGTTTGATGTAGTTCCACTTGTTGATTTTCGCTTTTGTTCCATAAGGATGATTTTCATCATTGCATCTAATCCAGAAAAAGAAGAAACAACATGGGGTAAAATTCTGTACAACTAGAAATGAGGTCAGAATTTAATTTTCTACTCATTTCTTGGAAGATACAGGTAACATACAGCAAAGGGAAATCCCTCTCTGATCACTATCTCAGAATTATGGGTTATCCTTGTTAACAGATTTGTCTAAGCTTTGAGGGGAAAATGGTGGTGCTGGAGCCATTAATCTTACTCCATCACAGCTTTCCCTGCACCTCACTACGAGAACTAAATGAAATGTTCTTGAAGGTGGCCAGTGTGGGAGGAGCAGCCTGGGATGCCGCTGCACCTACTCCCGACCCTTTTTTGCCCCTGGGTGCTGGGTCCTTCTGGGGCTGAACAGCTCAAAAAATCTGAGGCCTTGATCTTGTGCACAGGAATGTATTTCTTTGCAAAGGAGAAACCAGTTTCCTGTTTTACTCTCTTCTACTCTATGAAATTAAGTGGTCTCTTAACCATCTTTCTCCCTAAGGAGTTTGAGAGGAAGGAAAAAGCATTGGCACCCACATCTTCCAAAGTGTTTGACTGTTTCAATCCTTGGAATGTGTATCTTTTTGCAAAACTTTTATTTTTCTTTTTTCATTTATGACATTAAGAAGATTTGTTTTGGCAAAAACTAGAATCAGTGAACTCTAGAAAGGAAAAATGTAACAGTTATGTAGATTTTACCCTCTGTATTTACAGATAAACCCCAGCAAATTACCCTCAGTACCACTGTTTGCCATGATACACAGGAAGTAGATGCATCTAAGGGTTCTAGAATGTGATCATCCAATACCCAAAAACATGCCACTCTTCTGCATGGTTATTCACCTACAAGAGATTTAGAAGGGTGTTTTCTATGCACAGTCTGTGCTGAGAATAGAATGGAATGGAAGAGTAAAGGGAAGAGATGAGGAGTGGTACAAACAGACGGTGGTGGAGGAGACCAGTTAAGAGGTCTCACATTTGCCAATCTGCTGATGTGGGATCTGAATAAAATAGAGTCGAAGATGATTTCAAAGGTTTTGTTTGTTTGTTTGAGTAATTAGAAAGATGAGGCTTTTAATTTACTGAAAGTGGGAAGACTGGGAGAAACAATTTGGGGGGAGAAGGTAAGAGGGTCAGATTAGAACATGTTACATTTGAAATGCCAAGTTGAGAAAACCAAGTGGAGATGTCAAATAGGTGGTTAGGCATATGAGTCCTGAATTCAGGGGAAAAAATCACCTTTGGACTTGCGAATTTGAGAATTTCAAACAGAAAACTGTCAGGTCTAGTAAAAGTCTCAATGAGTTCATCAAGAAGTGAGAGAGAAAAGAGTTCTAAAGATAGAGCACTGCCGCCATCCAAAACTTGGAGGTGAGGGAGTTAAGAAGGAAATAGCAAATAGATTGAGAAGAAGTGACCAGTGAGATAGAAAGCAAACATGGGTGTGGTGCCCAGGAAGACAAGAAAAAAATAGTGTTTCAAAGAGGATGGAGTGGTCACTGTGTCAAATGCTGCTGATTGGCCCAGAAGATTATGATGAAGACTAGACTTCTTTCTAGACCGTTTCTAAACAGAGATACATGGGGTTTTATTTCAGCCAGTCATTAAGTTCAGCATCATATTTTATCAATTTTAGTTTTTAATTGCCTCTTGTATTCCAGTCGTCTCTCTGATCTTGTCCTCTTCTGACTGAAGTAGAGTCCAGCAAGTATTTGAGTAATAAACTCAGTTTATATGTCAGAAATCACCTTCGCTCTTGAATTTTTGTTTAGCTAAATATAAAATTGTAGGGTGATAGCTTTTCTCCCTCAGCACTTGGAAGGTGTTACCCCATCACCCACTGTTTTCTGGCATCTAATGCCACTCGTGAGAAGTCTGCTGTCAGTGCTTGCTACTCCCCTGTGGGGAATCCCGCTTGTATCTTTAACTTGGAGTTCTGTGGTTCTATTCTAATGCATAAAAGTGTGGATTTACTTTTATTTTTATTTTGCTAATCCTGCTCAGCATGTGGTATTCTCTTTCAATGAAAGGCTTTGTTTTGTTTGGCATTCTTCTGATTCTGGGAAGTTTTCAGCCACCCTCCTTGAAAATACTACTTCCCTGACCATCTGTTAATTCTCTCCTGATGATGAAAATTGTGTTGGGTTCATGTTAGAGCCTTTCAGTGTTACTGCTGTTCTCGTCTCAATTCCCTCTTTATGTTTCATCTTTTTATATCTTGTGGCTGAATTCTGGGTACAGCCCTTGACCCTGTCAGTCCCCCATTCTCTTGGGAGTTGCTCTGGGGAGCGATTATTCCCTCTCTTTCTCATGGCTATGTGTTTTGTTCGTACGTTTTCCATTTTTCATTCTGTCCTATTCTTGTTTCATTGTTGCCTATATTTGTTTTTATAATTTCTTGTTCCTTTATATGAAACTTTTTTTTCCTTTATCACATTGTTCGTCCTGAATGTATGCTTCTGCGATTTCCACCTGGTCAGGAGCGCACTCATCTTCTGCTTGTTGAGCTGGCTCTGTGGTTTTTAGTGGTAAGTTGGATGTTTTGCTTTCAGGAAACACACTGAGTAAGAGGTGTATTTCGCACTCTCATTCTTTGTAATGCAATGCTTTTCACTTGTCTTCACTAGTCTGTCAAGACCCTCAGTCCCAAAGCAGCTCTTTCATCAGCATCTCAGGGTTTCCTTTCATCCAGCAATAGTTTTGGAGACATCCCTGACTCAGTCACGGAACCTGTGGGCTGCTGGACCTACGTTAGGTCTGGTTGGCTCTCTCAGCATCCTCTCCCTCCTGCAGCTAGGTACCATGGAGGGTACCGATAGTTTTTTTCAGCGTCTTTTTATGAGTGGCAGAACCACTGCCCCTGATTTTATTCAGGTAACCTGAACTTTGGTTTCCCACTACTCAAGGCATGGCATTTTTCACCCCACTGGAGGAAGGAACCTTTACACTTTTCTGTTCCAGTTCCTGAATTACAAAATGACTGTGGCTTTAGCCCCTGTTCACCTACCAATGTGATTTTCTGGTCTGTTTCTGGTCTAAAGAGATGTTTATCTTGTTTTCAAGACTAAGGTATTTTTTTTAAGTGTCTATAATTGTATTCAGGACAGAAGATGTATTTTTTAGGTCATGAGCTCACAATTCCAAAATGACCCAAAGTACTTTATATTTTTAATAAGCATTGCTGTCAGTCACACATATGACAATATATATATGTATGATTTACATACATTGCATATTTGTGAATACGTTATTCAGTAGAATTCATTCTTTTTTCTAAAAGTTCACACTAAATTTGAAATCTACTAAAACAAGACTTTACTTTTTATTCTTAAATGCCTAGATCAGGGTCAGTCTTATAAATATGTGGCAACTCATTTGTCTTGATTTGTAAGGTCACAGGTAGGACATTGTGTACCCAAATATTTTCTTATCTGCCATGATATACAAATTCCACAAAAATGATTCTCCTGGATTTGACAGTGTTTATCTTTCACAATTACATACTAAATGAAAATAAACTTGGGGACTGGAGGAAAGGGAGGCGATGCCTTTGCAACAAGGACTCCTAACACAGAATAAGGTATTTTGAGAATATTATCAAGATAAGACCCCTGGACAGTGAGCCAGAAGTGCCAAAAAGGAGATTGAATGTTTCAAAAGGAGGTAAGAGGGCAGCAAAAACAAACTGCTCTTCCTCATGATGTTATGAGTTAGAAACCTGGCATTGACGATGTGCAAAGCTCAATTAACCTTACTGTAAACATCAGGGGACAAACGAGTTATTCACACCCCCTATAACCATTTAAAGGTGTTCATAAAGGAAAGCAGGTGTAATCATTGTTGAGTAAAGAAGGAAGTTCAAAATAAATTTTCAAACCTTGTCATATTTACCTTACCAACTGATTTTGATTACGTGGCAACACTTCCTATAATTGTATGCAGCAGATGACGGTGGAAATTTATCCCCAAAGTTTTTCAAATATTCTCCTAAAAAAATTTTTCTGGAGGATGTTCAGTTTGCCTGCTAAAGCGTATTCGTTTTTACCTTTTCTTAAATTATCTTCTTCCCCACTCCTTAAGTCAAATGGTGCTTCCTTCAGCACAGGCAGCTTACCTTCATCATAATTTTTTCAGACCTTCTGTTTTTCTCTCTTCTTTTAGCCGGCTGGGCACTGCAGTAGCTGAAATGCGGAAAAGGCAGCAGCCCCAGAATGAAGAAGCACCTGCTGTGTCTCAAGCACCTGAAAACCAGAGGCCCAACAACACGTGTTGCTTCTGTTGGTGCTGTTGTTGTAGCTGCTCCTGGTACGTCCTCTTCTCTGTGTGATGCAACCAGCCCTGAGCAGGCTCAGAACTGGCGTGAACGTGAACGTCAGCTCTTGGGGTGATAGAAATGTCTCAATCTGCCTTATTTTCCCCCTATACCAGTAGGAATTACTGGAAACAATCATTGGTTTGATGCAGACATTTTCACAGGCAATATATAATATATCCTAAGAATCTACCTGTAAATTGGTAATAAGGTAAAGAATGATTACTTTATTTTATATTGTTATATTGATTTTATATCATGGTTTTCTCCATACTCATCTTGTTTTATATTATTTTATACTTTTATATTTAAAAATTTATGTTCTAAAATTATATTGTTTTATATTTTATATCATGTTTTTCTCCAGCCATGCTTCTTAAAGTTATGGGTAAAAATAAGATTATGGTTATATATTAATTTAACAGTAAACAACATTCTCCCACATTCCAGAAGGTGTGGGGACACTAAAGTAATATCTAGAGGTTCTGTATGTAGTATTCACTGTAGTGTTTTAGTTCTGTGCTGTTTCTTAGGATGTAGATTAATCAGGGTCAGGTGGCAGCCTCAGCCACAGACTCCGGAAAAGGACGCCGGAAGAAGTGCCACAGATGCACATCCACAGGTTTGGAAGCTCAGGGGCTGTGATGGGTGTGAAGCCAGTGGGTTAAAAACTCTGAACTTAGAGCCAGACAGCCTGCTTTCTACTGTGGTTTTATCACGATAGGCTCTGTGACATCATACACAGTTGTAGTCTCCATTTTTCGGTTTCCTCACTGGCATAGTGGTGAGGATTTAGACCAGTTGATTCTCAAGGTCCCGTCTGGTACTAAATGTCCATGATTCAGACACCTCAGAAAACCTGCTCTAGTTCCAAATGCCCAACGTGTATCGAGATAAGAAAATCAATAAGGCCCAGAGTCCCAAGATTTATGAGATGAGCTTTCTCGGTTGGCGGGGGCAGGGTGGGGGAGTGCTAGACTTGATGGAACTTTCCATAGAACCAAACGTTTTGGGATCCTCTAAGATCCATTTCACAGGATTAGCAATGGTCCTCTGGATCTCGCTGACCTATTCCCAACCCTAAGGAAAGGCCCAGATGATTGAGACACCTTCTTGTGCTTGATCTCTGCAGGTTCCCAGCATCCATCCAGGTTGTTGTGATGATACAGTGGCATGATGGTCTATCATGGTGGCCAAAATACACAAGGAAACATCTAATGCTCCCATGGCAGGCTTGCTGTTGAACAAGCTCTGAGCTCTCTAGAAAACTTCATTGCCAGAAGTGCGATACTTTAGCAATTTGGAAGGCTTAAGATAGTTTCTATAAATATCAAAATTGCTTCCTAGATGATGAGTCTTTGTTGGGGGAAGTCATATATGATTCCTTTTTCTTTCATTCTTAAATCTTAAGTTAAGTGTTTCAGAAGGAGGAAATAGAGCTCTAGAGGAGAGAAAGATTTCAGTACAATTGTGTAATCTTTTGCTCCATCTTCTAAGGAAATGAACTAGGTCTGGTCTTAATCCATGCAATACAGGGTAGTGACTGAATGTGGTGGTTCTGAAGTCAGACTACCTGTTTCAAATCTTGTGCCATCTGTCACTGTCTGACCTTCAACAAGTTACTTAGTATCCTTAAATTTATCTGTCAAATGATAGTATTAAGAATCCCTACCTCATAAGGTTGTTTTCAACATTAAATGAAATCAAACACATACAAGATGAAAACAGTGCCTGACCTATAGTATGCATTTAATAAGAGTTAAGTTACCGGGCTATGGAATACTTCACACTGGAAAAATGAAATCTCTTTAAAGAGGGGCTCCTTCAGATAATGTATATATTTTTCAAAAGATCAACTTGTGTTTATAAAACAAAAAGTTATCTTGGAAAGGAAAGTTATTGATTTTAAAGTTCGTATAAAACATCAAGAATATATTGTTCCATCATGTTGAGGACTGTACTTCTATTTGTCATTTGCAGTTTGCCAGGTTCCAGTAATTAGTAGATGATTTTATTTGCCTACAAAAACTTATTCCTGAATTGCTGTAGGATTAAAACAGCAAACATTGAAGTTTAGTTGTACAATATTTGCTGTCAAACAGATGTTTAGTGAGATTTGCTTTCATCTGTCCTACAGATATTTAGCAAGACTTGCTTTTATTAATTCTTAAAGTGCACATTAAATAACAAAATATTCAACGTGAGCTCATGAGCATCAGATTGTCACAGGACACAAACTGGATCGAGAATAAAACAGCTTTTGAAAGCTGCATTAACTCTCCACACCTCCAGGGTGACAAGTCTTTGGACCCTAAACATGTGGTGCATTGGATGAGTGTTCTGTTAGTTCTTGACGTTGTCAAGAACTGTGTTTGCTGACAATGAGTCATGGATACCCAAGTCTACGCCATAAAATGCAGTCTATAAACGTGCAAGTCTTCTATACATGATAAATGATAGGTAATTTCTAATGTAAGCAACTGTTTAAAAAAAGGAATGGAAGTTAAATTGGATTTTAATTGTACCTCCATTATCTCATTATAAATGGAAATGTCCTCCACACATGCATTTTTTAAATACCATAATTTTTGTACTTTGACTTTAGAAAAAGAATTTGTAAAGGCTTATTAGAGTGGGGAGAAAAAAAAGGGAAAGAACTGTTCTTCAAATTTTCCAGGCTAGGTCAAAGGAGCAGAACAAAGAGAAATACTGAAAAACCTAATTTAGGGACAAAAAAGTTAGAAATCAAAGTATGAAGTAACTGTCATTCGTAACCAGGAACAGTTGTCATGGAGCTGGTTTTACCTCCTTTTAAGGAAATAGAGTGCTAAGAAAATAAATTTCTATATCGAGTAATAAATAGAAATACCTCACTCCAGCCTCACATGTTAGGAGTTTTTAAAACAACTTCGTATTTTCCTCAAATTTGCATTTCTCATTCATATTTCATTGTCAGCTCCTCTCTCATTTTTAAATTTATCTCTGTCTTTATAAAATTACCACTATGCCTTATTTTGGGCGATGATACAGAGGATAAATACATAACCGCTGAATAATTCCAGTTTCCTTCAAAAAGCTAAAAAAGTCAGGATTACTTCACAATGGCTTCTTAAGCTGATCTGCCCTCTGTCCCCGCAAAGGAATCATTCCTCTTCCCCAGATCAGCCTCCCTCTTCTCCCCTCAGCCCTCCATTTGAAGAAGAGAAAACGAGGCAGTGAGGGTTAGACCCTTTATCCTGTGCTGTGTGAGTCGTGGATGCCCAAGCATCCATCTGGCTGCAAAGCAGGCAGTCTATAAACTTGCAGCCCTTCTGTACGTGGGACCAAGTTGTTCTCAAGCAGGAGAGTTTTGTCAAGATCACTTGTCTAGAGGTTCAAGGTTGCCACTGTCAAAACTTAATGTTCGCCTTATATCAGGGTTCAGAGTGACCTGCCTCTGCAGGTGGTTACCTCTCTTCCCTTTTCTTTATGAGAAAGAAACCGTTGAAAGATGTGGGCTCCTCATGAAACTGCCATCACCAAGACAGTGTGACTCCATGAGGCCATTCAGACACCTGTGAAAAAGTGTGTTGCAAACTAGAAACTGAGTTGCGCTCACAAAACAAAATGACTCCAAAGGAGACAGAAAGGGAGAGCTTTCAAAATGCATTTCGAGCTTAAAGCTAATTTCCAAGTTGTCCCAGGACCCCTCCCTAAACATCAGAGGTTGTACTAAAATAAGCCAGACTATTTTTAACAAGGGAGTCTGTAGGTGCTAATCTATTTCTGTTTTAATTCCTTATTGCTCTTGGGAGTGTCCTATCAAGCAAGACAGATTTCTGTCTCCACTCATAAAAAATTAAACTCAGGAGACTTCCGATTCCATGCCTCCAGAACGTTCCATGACTTCTCATGCGTGGTGCTGAGGAGGTGGTTCTGGGACAGGACGGAGGTGGGGTGGGTACTTGCAGTTTCCAAGGGAGTAGTTCTCTCTTTAGCTATTTTACTTTAGATTAAAGTATACACTTTTGTATGAAAGAAAAGATGTCCTCACTAAAAAACTGGTGTTTGCAAAATTCTGCATCTGATTTTACAGATAAGGCAACTGAAGACTTGCCTGTTGTCGTTAAGCTCATTAATGACAGTTTAAGTGGGACTGAAATGCGAGTCTCTTAATAGCCAGCCCCCTGTTTTGTCCACTTGAAGATGATACAGCCAGACTTTTCATTTCCAGGCTTTTTATGAACCATTTCCCAAGCTTTTGACTTTGCAAAGGCTCCAAGAATTATATTAAAAACAACTTTTCAAACGGGATTTGCAATCCCATGGACTACAAGATCCGGCCCACCGCATGGGATAGTCTTCATTCTTCGCAGGAAAATGGGTCAGAACTGAATTTAGTACATTAACTAGCCCTCTGAAACCTAAAATTGTCTCCCTTTTAACACATTAGTTTCCAGAGTTTCCAGACCACGGGACAGATCTGACCACGTATATGTTAAGCACTTCTTAAACGTACTTTGGTTGCCCCTCCCCTTATTTCTAACAAGTACCACAGCTTCTGATAAACAGTGCTGTTTTATCCTCTGACGCTGTGACACGTTAGCCCTTTGCCAATGGAAATACTGAAACGCACGTTTTAAAAGCCAAAGAATATTTTTTGATGGAAAAAGCAAAATCCAAGTCTGTTCCATGGTAAAGAAAGCACCACCCCCTGAAAACAAATCCACTCACACATGCACGTGGAATCACTTCATCTGAGGCCCCAGTGAATATGCAGTCTTCTCCACCTGTTGCCCTGGCAGATGTGATTCATCTCAAGTGGGAGCACAAGTCATCTGCAGGGGACTTCCAAAGGGCTTGGAACCAGACCATCAAAAACACCACTTCCCAAGAGTTCCAGCTTTGAAACTCTGTCTCGCTATGTCATAGATGAATTTTCTCAATAGTTTCTATGACTTACATGATCTTTAAACTCACACGATCCAAAGACATCTACCAAAATGCACCCAGG